AAGTTGTTGAGAACCCCCAGGCACTTCTCGCCCCCTCGCTCGCGGTTGTCTGGTTGTGCTTGACCATTCCTGGCGGTCACAGGGAAACCAGTTATAAGTTTTCTTTAAAGTGTAGCCTGTGGCTGTGTGAGTCAAAGGAAAAGCCAAGAGCCACTTACCCGCCGGTGTGAGACCAGTTCAGACCCACGAATTGTGCACCTGAAGCCCAAGCCCAGTCCAAGCCGTGTCTGCTGAGGTGACCGAGGTCCAAATCCACGGTAGCAGATCTAAAGAGAACAAAAAGAGCACGCATTTAGCAAGGTTGCACACTCATACCTTCGTGGACTCGAGCCTCGACACTTCAAGGCTCGGGTGTCAATCCCGCAACACAGCAGAGGATCAGCTTGAACTATTACCTCCTGAAATGGCTTTGCTGACGAGACTGTCCTCCTCTCGAGTCTCGATGCTGATTCCCTGCCAGCCGGAGCCGAGGCTGCGGCAGTACTGGTTGGCGCCATCCCACGTGTAGGTCTTGCTGCCGTCATGGCGCCACGAGAAGTGGTACTCGCTGTCGTCCAGCCTGTCGTCCACCTGCAGTCGGCCGAACCGCCGTTGTTGTGGGTCGGCAGAGAATGATGTTAGGGCAGGTTTTCGAGAATCGATTTGGACGGCAGAAAATTCCAATGATTCAACTTAAAAGGACAAATACTTCAAAAGTCAGATGATGGACCTTTTACATGCATATATTCCAATCATTTCAGGGTGCGAAAGCAGTCCTGACTGCAGCGACAAGGGCCTCGAGACTCACCGCAACGCCCGAGGCAGGTGGCTGGGGCACCACAGGATGCACAGGTGCCACGGGTAGGGTGGAAGGTCTGAAGGGGCGTGGTCGGTGCGGGAAGGTAGAGGTGGTGTGTCTGAATCCATGCCTGACAGGAAGGAAGTGGGTATGCCCACCGTGAGGGAAATGCCCGTGTCCGCCGTGGGAATGCTCCCCAGCAGCCGCAGCAAGCAAAGCCAACAACACCAAGAACTTCATCTGTAAATCACAAGCGAATACTTACAGAATGACGTAAATAGTCAACAGTTAGAACAAGTCTCCAGTCACAGCGACTTGTCTTACAACTCGTTTAGAGCACGTCCGACTACTGAACATCAGAAAAGTCATTTCTAATTCGTCTTCAACTATGCATTCACGCCAAAGCAATTCACTAATCACCCTCGTTCCCCAACCGCAATACACGCCTTGTCCTCAAAAGGCTTTCGTTTAAATGGCATCAAAGAGTTGAGAAGCGCGATCTTTCCCAAGCGAGCGGCCGTCTTACCGTGATCGGCGGACGAGCGAATGTGTCGACCGCAAGCAAAGCCGCCCTTTTATATGCAGCTTTTGCCTTTGCTTTGAGAAGGTCACGTGGATTTTCTCCCGTTTGCCCTTCATTCCGTAGCAGTAAATGAGTCTCATTGGAAAATTGTCTGAAATCTAGAGAAAAGATACAGAAGTGCTTTCTCCATACGGACTTCGATGGGCACAAATACCGTTTCTTCTTTCTGCTTCTACCCTGTCTCTCTATATATATATATATATATATATATATATATATATATATATATATATATATATATATATATATATATGTGTGTGTGTGTGTGTGTGTGTGTGTGTAATATATATATATATATATATATATATTATATATATATATATATAATATATATATGAAGATATGTATATACATATATGCATATACACGCAAATATGTGTGTATATATATATATATGTATATGTATGTAAGTGCATATTTATATGTATAGATTAAATTTACGATGTTTCAAAGCTTATTTTTTCTGATGCTATAGAAAGCTTTTTTCTATCGAACGTTCATGTATACACATTCATGACTTTAAATCTTTCTCTACATACACAATTGTATAGATATGATTATGAATATACAAACATAGATACACATACTACATATACATGTGTATGTGTTATACATATATTTGTATATTGTATGCATATATTTATTTATATGAAAATATGTATGTACATTTATGTATACACATATATGTCTGTGTTTATATATATATATATATATATATATATATATATATATATATATATATATATATATATATATATATATATATATATATATATATATATAGGTGCCAGGACATTTCAAAGCTTTATCTTTTCTGAAAACTTACTTCCCTGCAGCCTTGTAGAATTGTCCTGATACTTTGGAAATCTCTTTTCTATCGAACTTTCTGGAACTCTTCGAAAAATTCCTTCACTGGAACACCGAAAAGGAATCCTGGGATCTTTTCCAGAGGATCCTTCTTGGACCTTTTTTTTTTTTTTTTTAACTTCCATAGAACTGATATTCCATTAATCCACTGAATTTCGAGTGATTTTCATAACTCTCTCAACATCGATCTTTTGTTCTATATTTTGTCGATTTCTGTCTTTCCATTTTCTATCCAGGTTGTGTTGCCTCATTTATGTCCCTTTTGTCTTTTTTCTCTTCTTCCTTTCTTCTTTCCCTTCACTTCTTCCTTCTTGACTTTTCTTTTTCTTTCGTTTGTTCCCTTTGTGAAGCATCGGTACTGTTCTCATCTAGCAAACTTGCTGACCTGCGTTCGATCCCGCGCTCTGCCAGTGGACGGCAACCCCGGCCATTTCTTGCACACAGGGAATAATTTAGAAGCATATATCATATAATTGTTCCTCTTCCTTCTCCCCTTTTTCTCGTTCCCACTCTTCGTCTCTTTTCTTTTCTTTTCCGTTTTCTTACTCCTTCACCATTCTCTCCTTCCTTTCTCTCCTCTCTTGCCTTTTTTTCCTTTCGACTTCCGTTTGCTTCCTCCATTTCCTTTTTCTCTTTTCCTCATTCTTCTTCCCTCTCCTACCCTTCTTTCTCTTTTCCACCTCCGCTCTTCCCCCCCTCCACCCACCCTTCTTTTTTCTCCTGCTTCTCTCTCGTGTTTTTACCTGTTTATATCAGACAATTCATTAATAGATCAGAAAGAAAGAGAGAGAGAGAGATGGAGAGAGAGGAGAGAGAGAGATATGTGCAGGAGAAAAAATATACAAAACTGGAAATTTGAAGACATGAAAGCTTTTCGCTTGAACTGAAAAAAACTTTTAGAAGTGTCCTTGCAGTGCAATTGCATTGGATTTTCTAGGTGGCATTTGGCAGATTGCTCTTGCATTGATTCTTAAGAAAGACACCTTAATTAGGAAGAAAATGATGTTTGTGTGAGGTGTCATCAAGGGCATTCATTTGATATATATGTATATATGTGTGTACACACACACACACACACATATATATATAGATGTAAATATGTGTATATGTATGTAAAATATATGTATATATATGCATATATACATATATGTATATACATACATACATACATACATACATATATATATATATATATATATATATATATATATATATATATATATATATATATATATATATATATATATATATATATCGTGTGTGTGTACACATACACACGTGCAGATATATGCAAATATGAATATATGCAGGCATACATGTGTACATATATATGTATATATGTAAATATTTACATATACCAATTTGTACGTGCATAAATACACACAAATATGGGTGTCTAGCTATCTATATGTATATATAAAGGTGTAGATATAAGAATGTGATTTTTCAGACGTCATGCACTGGTCCTCTGAGGAGTCTTAGTGCTTGAGTTTCTGGCCTGTATATGTATATATATATATATATATATATATATATATATATATATATATATATATATATATATATATATATATATATAAAGAGCGCTCTGTTGCATTCAATTAAAATATGCACTTTCTTTTTGTCAGAATCAAGAAGCGAAAAGTACTCTTAGAGTTTCATGTAGATTGTGTGAAAACGGAGAGAAAACGGAAATGCAGTTTAAGGAATTTGGTCTTTATTATCATATATAAATACGTATAAATACAGACGTCGTTCGCTCTACAAGAAAGCAGGACGCACGTGCTCCTCATCCGTGGACTCGGGCTTTGCGCTCGCAGATGATGGCCTTGTCGTGGTGGCAGGCGATGTCGTGCCACTTGACGCCGTCGTTGTAGAAGTTGTTGAGAACCCCCAGCACTTCTCGCCCCCTCGCTCGCGGTTGTCTGGTTGTGCTTGACCATTCCTGGCGGTCACAGGGAAACCAGTTATAAGTTTTCTTTAAAGTGTAGCCTGTGGCTGTGTGAGTCAAAGGAAAAGCCAAGAGCCACTTACCCGCCGGTGTGAGAGACCAGTTCAGACCCACGAATTGTGCACCTGAATCCCAAGCCCAGTCCAAGCCGTGTCTGCTGAGGTGACCCGAGGTCCAAATCCACGGTAGCAGATCTAAAGAGAACACAAAAAGAGCACGCATTTAGCAAGGTTGCACACTCATACCTTCGTGGACTCGAGCCTCGACACTTCAAGGCTCGGGTGTCAATCCCGCAACACAGCAGAGGATCAGCTTGAACTATTACCTCCTGAAATGGCTTTGCTGACGAGACTGTCCTCCTCTCGAGTCTCGATGCTGATTCCCTGCCAGCCGGAGCCGAGGCTGCGGCAGTACTGGTTGGCGCCATCCCACGTGTAGGTCTTGCTGCCGTCATGGCGCCACGAGAAGTGGTACTCGCTGTCGTCCAGCCTGTCGTCCACCTGGAGTCGGCCGAACCGCCGTTGTTGTGGGTCGGCAGAGAATGATGTTAGGGCAGGTTTTCGAGAATCGATTTGGACGGCAGAAAATTCCAATGATTCAACTTAAAAGGACAAATACTTCAAAAGGTCAGATGATGGACCTTTTACATGCATATATTCCAATCATTTCAGGGTGCGAAAGCAGTCCTGACTGCAGCGACAAGGGCCTCGAGACTCACCGCAACGCCCGAGGCAGGTGGCTGGGGCACCACAGGATGCACAGGTGCCACGGGTTGGGCGGAAGGTCTGAAGGGGCGTGGTCGGTGCGGGAAGGTAGAGGTGGTGTGTCTGAATCCATGCCTGACAGGAAGGAAGTGGGTATGCCCACCGTGAGGGAAATGCCCGTGTCCGCCGTGGGAATGCTCCCCAGCAGCCGCAGCAAGCAAAGCCAACAACACCAAGAACTTCATCTGTAAATCAGAAGTGAATACACTTACGGAATGACGTAGATAATAGCTAGAACAAGAATCCCACTCACACAGCGACTTGTCTTACAACACCTCTAGATCATGTCTGATTAATGTACTTTAGTAACTTCTGCATTTACACTTCACAAATCACCCTCGTTTCCCCAACCGCAATACACGCCTTGTCCTCAAAAGGCTTTCGTTTAAATGGCATCAAAGAGTTGAGAAGCGCGATCTTTCCCAAGCGAGCGGCCGTCTTACCGTGATCGGCGGACGAGCGAATGTGTCGACCGCAAGCAAAGCCGCCCTTTTATATGCAGCTTTTGCCTTTGCTTTGAGAAGGTCACGTGGATTTTCTCCCGTTTGCCCTTCATTCCGTAGCAGTAAATGCGTCTCATTGGAAAATTGTCTGAAATCTAGAGAAAAGATACAGAAGTGCTTTCTCCATACGGACTTCGATGGGCACAAATACCGTTTCTTCTTTCTGCTTCTACCCCTGTCTCTATGTATATATATATATATATATATTATATATATATATATATAATATATATATATATATATGTGTGTGTGTGTGTGTGTGTGTGTGTGTGTGTGTGTGTGTGTGTGTGTGTATATATATATATATTTATGTATATATATAAATTCTCTGCATACACAATTATATATTTAATTTTGTATATATGTATGTATATGTATATAATATATATATATATATATATATATATATATATATATATATATATATATATATATATATATATATATATATTATGTATATACATATATGCATATACACACGCAAATATGTGTGTATATATGTATATATATATATATATATATATATATATATATATATATATATATATATATGTATGTATGTATATGTATGTAAGTGCATATTTATATGTATAGATTAAATTTACGAGATTTCAAAGCTTTATTTTTTCTGATGCTATAGAAAGCTTTTTTCTGTCGAACGTTCATGTATATACATTCATGACTTTTAAATCTTTCTCTACATACACAATTGTATAGATATGATTATGAATATACAAACATAGATACACATACACACACGCACATACGTATATACACACATATATATATGCATGTGTATGTGTTTATATATACATTTGTATATTGTATGCATATATATATTTATATGAAAATATATACATTTATGTATACACACATATATGCTGTGTTATATATATATATATATATATATATATATATATATATATATATATATATATATATATATATATATATATATATATATATATACGTGTGTATTTGCCAGGACATTTCAAAGCTTTATCTTTTCTGAAACTTACTTCCCTGCAGCCTTGTAGAATTTGTCCTGATACTTTGGAAATCTCTTTTCTATCGAACTTTCTGGAACTCTTCGAAAAATTCCTTCACTGGAACACCGAAAAGAAATCCTGGGATCTTTTCCAGAGGATCCTTCTTGGACCTTTTTTTTTTTTTTTTTTTTTAACTTCCATAGAACTGATATTCCATTAATCCACTGAATTTCGAGTGATTTTCATAACTCTCTCAACATCGATCTTTTGTTCTATATTTTGTCGATTTCTGTCTTTCTATTTTTCTATCCAGGTTGTGTTGCCTCATTTATGTCCCTTTTGTCTTTTTTCTCTTCTTCCTTTCTTCTTTCCCTTCACTTCTTCCTTCTTGACTTTTCTTTTTCTTTCGTTTGTTCCCTTTGTGAAGCATCGGTACTGTTCTCATCTAGCAAACTTGCTGACCTGCGTTCGATCCCGCGCTCTGCCAGTGGACGGCAACCCCGGCCATTTCTTGCACACAGGGAATAATTTAGAAGCATATATCATATAATTGTTCCTCTTCTTCTCCCTTTTTTCTCGTTCCCACTCTTCGTCTCTTTTCTTTTCTTTTCCGTTTTCTTACTCCTTCACCATTCTCTCCTTCCTTTCTCTCCTCTCTTGCCTTTTTTTCCTTTCGACTTCCGTTTGCTTCCTCCATTTCCTTTTTCTCTTTTCCTCATTCTTCTTCCCTCTCCTACCTTTCTTTCTCTTTTCCACCTCCGCTCTTTCCCCCCCTCCACCCACCCTTCTTTTTTCTCCTGCTTCTCTCTCGTGTTTTGACCTGTTTATATCAGACAATTCATTAATAGATCAGAAAGAAAGAGAGAGAGAGAGAGAGGAGAGAGAGAGAGACCCACTATGTGCAGGAGAAAAAATATACAAAACTGGAAATTTGAAGACATGAAAGCTTTTCGCTTGAACTGAAAAAAACTTTTAGAAGTGTCCTTGCAGTGCAATTGCATTGGATTTTCTAGGTGGCATTTGGCAGATTGCTCTTGCATTGATTCTTAAGAAAGACACCTTAAT